TTTAGTATCAATATGTAGTACTCTTATCGATTATTGTTTGTTATCAGTACTATCAGTTCTTGATGCCATTTCATTTGTATTATTTGTTAATATCAATTTTAGACCAAAAGGAGAAATAAAGAGATTCGAAATTTCATTAGTGAATATGACAATTCTTCTTTTCTTTTTTTCTACAACAATATTTTTACGTTTGATGTACTGTTTTATTTTCTTCAATTTTTTAAAATGTTTTCAAAAAAATTAGTCATGAATAACAACCTGCACACACACGTACACACACGCATGCGCATACACACATACATATACATGCAATAATGCACATATACATACGTATATACATATATATACATACATGCATACATGCATACATACGTACATACATGCATACATCTGTAACGTATATATACTTTCAGTCATAATGAGTCATTATTATTCCAGGAAATACGTGCCCTCTTCCACTTTTTTCTTTTATCACTTTTACTGTTATTTTTATCTCATACTTGAATAACTTAACTTTACACGAAATATTTGATAAAAATTTATTTTCTTGGAAAAAAACTTTATTTTTCAAAAAAAGAAATTTTTTACTTATGCTTTCATAATATATCAGTAATGTTCAAATTAAAAAAAAAAGAAAAAATTCACCTCATTCAATAATTAAGCTTATGTTATTGTTAGGTTACAATACCTCCAATTATATCTGCGTTTAAACTCTCAATAAGTAGGTTTCGCATGAAACTTATCTGATGTGTATAGTAAAAGTCCGAATTCTTGTGCAATCACCAGCATTTTAGTTTTTTTTTTTTTTGTTTTTCTTTCTTGTACTAAAATTTGTTAAGTATTAATATCTATACCACAGAATAGTTTGTACAATAATTTTGACGATACGGTTAATCCCGTCAAACTATAGAGAAATCGTCATATTTCCCTATTGCATGGAATATTTGAGAAAGATTGGTGATCTAGAGTATTGCAATTCTCATACTTGATAATGAATTATTAGCCACTCAAGATTTTACGAACATATGAGATTTGGAAGTACTTTTTGGGTTTCTTTTTTTGTCTATTAATATTTGCTAGAAAACAAAAACAAAAAATTATTCAAAGTAGTGTTATTTTATTTAAATTTAGAATTAACTAGTAAACAATATTGAAAATTTAAATTGAGTAAAATTAGCTTTTTGCTCTCATTTCAACACTAATAAATAAGGACAAAAGTTGCACTGAACAATGGACGTTTCGAAAAGATAATGAAGTGGGTCCGAATTGTTGAATTTTCTAACTGTTTAAGTAAATTGATGATTTTTTTTCAGATCTGATGGATTCAGAATTGGATGAGGTTGAGATTATTTTTTGCGCAAAAACTGGCATCCGGTGAGCCGATCACTCGTCGACGAGCTTTTCGAACGCTACGTGATTGGATTCGAACTGAATCGGCCAAGCAAGGTCCTTTTTTTCGATTTTTTTTTCTGTTCATTTACCAAATATTTGACAGAATTATTGACGATATTTAGACTCATATAGATCGAGCTTAGGGTTCATTTCATTTTTCTGTATGCTTCGCAGAAGGCTTCCCACAGGATTCGATAAGATCAGTTATTAGAAAAGCCACCATTAAAGAAAGTGAAACCCGGTAATGATAACCGTTTTATTGTGCATTATCTTGGTTCTTAAATGGTATGCAAGGGATGAATGGTTGATCTTTAGACTTCTCCAGCAGAAGCGGATAAGAAAAATAGGAAATGGAATAAGTTGAGCAAAATGAAGTCAGATTTTAACCTTTTTTTTTGCAGAATTTGATGATAAAGCAATGCTACATTTGACGAAAGGATTGCATTACGTGATGTGGATGCAAGACAAGATGTTATGGCAAGAGCAACTTGCTGATAATATTGCTTCATTGATTAATTTGTTTGGAAAAGAAGAAGAATCTGTTTTGTACATAAAATGCATGTTAATAACCATTTCTAATGAATGGTCACGAATCGATCGTTGGAGGATGGACAAGTTTCTTATGGTTAGTCTCTCTCCTTGTCTTAATTATTCAAAGAGAATTCAATTTTGTAAAAGATTGAATTTCAAGAAATTTAAGGTGGTCAAACTATCATTAGAAAAAGTTCAAACTATCATTAGAAGCTTGTTTTTTATTGGGATAGAAGGTTAAATAATGAGGAAGTCAGTGTTGGTATTCACACTATTACAACCAGGTGTAGTATGTCCGGTATTTAAAAAAGAAAAAAAAAGCATTGGTGTGTTATTTGGTAAAATTTTATTGTTTTGAGTCACTGGACCATTATTTACCTTTGATGAGGAAGGTACTGAGCTAAGGCACAAGCATCTACCTTTGATAAAGAATTCGATAATCTGAGACACTAACTTGAAATTCTAAATTCCAGCTCACTCTGTCTTCCGGGGGAAAAGTAGAATGTTTTTTTGTACTATTATATAAATATTCAAGGGAGTGTTAGTAATAACCAAAAATAAAGCTTCCAAAGTCAGTTAAATCAATGTTTGCATAATATTTTCGTCATTTATAGTTTTGTAAATCTCTGTTTATCTTATTGACATTCCAAATTTTCTGCGTTCTTGCTTAGTTTTATAATTTAACCTTTTTCTTTTTTTTATTTCATAATATGGATATTTTGAAAAAGAAAATAAAATAAAAATTTCCCATTGTTTTGGGATGTACAGTGAAGCATATGGAAATATGAATTAAAGGTAAAATTGTTGAACACTTTTGGGTATATTGCCATTGTTCTAGTAACCAAATAATCAGATTTTTTGG